GATACTAAAGACGCTTCCGAAAATATTCGGACATACAGATAAAACTGTGAGGTCGGAGGTGGGTTTGATATATTTTCGCATTATTATGAGCAAACATAGAAGATTCTCATATCGAATTTCTCTTCAGGGAACACAACTTGTGATAGAATTGTATAAATGGTTGGGCCAAGCAATCAATCCACACTTGCAAGAATTGAAGCCTGTGCAGGTATTTATTTGCTTAACTGTTTACGGATTATTTTCGGATGTGACTAAAAGAAGAACCGACAATAGATTAAAGAATTGAATGAGGCCTTTGAAAAGTTACCTCCCGAAAAACCTAAACAACTACGATTGCTCAGGTCACAAGCTGCAGCCGCGGCAGAGGCAGAAGCTGAAGGTTTGTTGCTAGCAACCTATTTTAATGCCGCAGTTCGATAACCCTATTAAGTAATAAATTATGATTTCTAGCGCAACAGGAAGAGGCTGAAGAGGAAAAGGAAATTGATGCATTTGATTTGGCCGAACCTGTCGATGTTTTAGCAAAAGTGCCCAAAGACTTTTACACAACGTTGGTAAGTTGTGTTTTGGACGGTTTATTCTCATAACAGTTTAATTTGAACTTAAAATAATTTAGGGATCTACGAAATGGAAAGAACGGAAGGAGGCATTGGACGGCCTGCTTGAAGTATGCAATACTCCTAGGATAGCTGATGGTAATTTTTCGGAGCTCATCCCTGCTCTTGCAAAGGTATGTCGGTATACGTATGCGAAATAAAAAGTACAAAAGTATTATCCTCAAATTTTGATTTTCCTAACATTCGCAACTACTTATTGCGTTTCAATAGAGAATGAACGATTCCAATATTATCGTGGTATCACTTGCAGCGAATATAATTGAGCTTTTGGCAAAAGGCTTACGCAACGATTTTAGTAAACACAAATCAGTAGTAAGTTTCTGAAGTGGTGGTCGTAAAATAGAGTTGGCATATGTTAATGTCGGTTTCGTCTCAGGTCGTAGGGCCTATCATAGAAAAATTGAAGGAGAAAAAAAAAAGCGTATCTGATACGTTAGCGAAGACACTTGACGCAATCTTCCTGACCGTAAGTTTCGCACATGTGCAGAAATTTAATTTGTAATGTTTAGTATTCAGATCATAATATTTGCTTCATTTAAGGTCACGCTATCTGACGTTGTGGAGGACATTGTAGCTGCGGGTAAACACAAAAATCCCCAAGTAAAATCAGAATCAATTAACTGGCTTGTGCGATGTCTGAAGACTACAAAAGTTGCACCAAATAAAACCGAACTTAAAGCTCTTTCTGAAATGTTGGTGAAAGCATGCGAGGACAGCATGGAGCCGGTACGTGTCGCCGCGATGGAAGGTTTAGGAACTATGATGAAAATCGTTGGAGATAAAGCAATGATACCATTCCTGGAGGGGCTTGATGATATTAAAAAAGGAAAAATAAAAGAATTTTGCGAAAAAGCTGAAGTCAAGGCTAAAGCAACTACTGTCAAACGACCCACTCCCGCACCAACCACTGAAGAAAAGCCCAAGCCAAAGACGATCAAATCGCCTGTAAGTGTTGCGACAAAGTTCAATGTCTTATAAATCGTATAAAGCTCATGCGTTCTGCATCACAGAATGGACCTCCAAAAAAGAAAGCTGAGGCTACATCAGCACCTACCAAATCAGCGCCATCGGGTCCACCAAAGAAATCCGTGAAAGCTGCAAAACCTTCACCGGCTGCTGCTGCTGCGCCACCGCCTCCGAAAAAAGGTGGTAAGGCAAAAGAAGAAGAGCCTATCAAATACAAATACGCTGATGAAGATGTCGAGGCGAAGTTTGGCGAAATTGTACCTTCTAGCCAAACTGACGAAATAAGCGACAAGCAATGGAAGATTAGATTAGCAGGTACTTTTTTCAGGTTTTGAAACAAACATTACTATGAACTTATTCTGATATTGAGGTGGTTTTTTTCAGCGATCACATCACTACGTCAGACTTTGGATTCAATGGATCCCGCGGAAGTTGATCCTGAGTTGGTTGTTCGTTTCTTGAGAAAAAAGCCTGGTTGGAAAGAAAGCAATTATCAGGTAAGCTGTCTTGACGCGGTTTTGGCCTTATGATGCGATGGGTTACTCATGCACCGTCTTGTCAAATTTTTTACTCTTCATAAGGTCATGAGTGAGGTCTTTGGCATAATGCAAATGCTTTCGGATAAATCAACCGCGTTTTCTAAACCAGCAGCTTCTCTCGCAATTTCCAGTAAGATATTTGCACGTAAATCAATGTATTTATTTGGTCTCACATATTAATTATTGTTTTCTGAAAGTATTGGCTGAAAAACTTGGTGATATCAAACTCAAGAAACCAGCTGGTGAATGCTTAACCAGCTTTGCCGAAAAAACATCACTTCAATTTGTACTCACACAAGGTATTACAATCGCTTCCTTCTGAATGAAAAAAAAAAGTTTGATACTAAATTATCGGTAATATTGCAGCATATGAACCATTACGAAAGGCAAAGTCACCAAAGACGGTAGCAGACGGCCTCACGTGGATTCACAGTGCGGTCATGGAATTCGGTATTGCAGGTTTGCAAGTCCGCGACCTGATCGATTTTCTTAAATTTACACTTAGCAACACAAATGCGGCTGTTCGTGCAAATTCGGTGACAGTTTTGGGCGCTTTACGAATTTATGTTGGCCCTGGTGAGTACCGTGATTGCTGATTTTTTTGGTCAAGTCGAAAGCTCTAACTTTTGTTGTTGTATCTCTAGGTGTTCGAAATTTTGTTCAGGATTTGAATCCAACACAATTAGCCACAATAGATGCTGAGTTTGAGAAGGTTGCTGATCAGGCACCGCCTCAGCCGACGAAATCTAGCGTAAGTTTTACGAATATTTTAGCAAGTATCATTCTCGCAAACGTCTGGAAAGCCCCTACGTTGCTTTCTAAGAGTAGCATTACCGTTGGACATTACAAGAATTAGTTAATGGTGATTGATATTTGATTTAAACTTTATTCAACAGGCCGAATCCAAAAATTCTGGCGATGCATTAGATGAACTATTTCCCAAAGTTGATATAGGAGCACTTATTACCGGCAAAATAGTTGCGGTAAGTATGTGTCGAGTCGTCAGTAACATGTTTAAAGAAGACTAACTTGATTATTATATGCGTAGGATTGCAACAGCGACAAATGGAAAACGAGAAAGGAGGGTATGGACCAAGTTAAAGCAATAGTCGATGCTAACCAGCGACTTAAACCGAATTTAGGTATATACACTGTATTGTATATTCCGTTGAACCGATGATTCTTGATTTAACAATTCTTTTTAAAAGGTGATTTTCCGCCCGTCTTGAAGGCACGATTAGCTGATAGTAATAAAAATCTGCAGATGATGGCGCTAGAGATTTGCGGAAAGATAGCCACGGCAATGGGCAAACCTTTCGATAGATATGTGAAAATTTTCGTGGGACCAGTTACTAATGTTCTTACAGATCAAAAAGCAACTGTTCGTGGCAGTGCTATCAGCACCCTCGATGCAATGGCAAATGCATGTGGGCTTGATCCTCTCATTTCATCCCTTGCTACCAGTCTAGCAAATGAAAATCCACTTTTACGAAAGGATCTCTTAAATTGGCTTTCAGAACGTCTGAAAGAATTCGAAGAAAAGAAAAAGTCTCCAGACTTGTCACCGCTAGTAACACCAATATTGTCTTGTTTATCTGATCGTAATGGAGATGTTCGTAAGTCCGGGCAGGCTTGTTTAGGGCCAATAATCAATAGTGCTGGTTACGATCATGTAGTTCAGAAATGCGGTGATTTGAAGGGTGCGATAAAACAACAAATTATGCCGATGATTGAAGCAGCACGTCCTGCTAGTGGAGGTGCCAGCAAAGTCAAGGACATTGGAAAGAAACCTGGTCCAAAAAGTCGGATTGGCGGACCGTCAGGCGGAGTTAGTGGAAAAGGCAGCAGGGAAGAAGATGAAGAGGAGGATGAGGATGAGGATGAAGAAATGCCGCCTGCGTTACCAACGTTACCAGTAAGACGCATTCCCGGACTTGGTAGAGGGAGTCAGATT